ACACGTAAAGGCAGAAAGGATATTGACATAGTCATCGAATCCCAGAAGTACTCCCACAATTTCTTTGTCACTCTTCATTATAATGTGAATACGTGATCCAATACACTTGTCTATCAGCTCTGAAAGAAAGAAAGAAAGAGAGCCAGATTATAATTTAAGCATAAGTTTATGACCGGGTCTCCAAAGCTTATAATCCTTGAACGGGTCAACTACAGGTAACATAAAAATTCTCCCTAGCTGCTACCATACATTGCTCGTAGTTCTAAGTGGGAGAATGTTTCGGAGAATCAAATCTTTCCTTCTAAATTATTCTGACAGTCGGAGGTATTTCTGCACGTGTTGTAAGTAGACAGCAAGATTTCAATACTACATTTTGACCTCTTTCCCATTCTTCTGTTCTAGAGTCGACAATCGTATAAAATTCTATGTTTTATCCATCTCCTCGAAATTTTTGAAACTCAGATCTATGGAAACAGACAAAACTTACCAAGAGGGAGCAACTGAGAGTCACTTCCCGCGGCCGCCATCTTGTTTTATATCCTTCTCATACATGACATATCTCATAGCCTATAGCAGCCCAGCTGGCCGGTATACAGCGGACCCTTAACTTACACAAGAGGCAAACAGGGAGAAACAAGCAGAGATGGGGGTGAACTTGTAGGAAGCTTTTCAAATACTTTTTCCTCGTTTTGGAAAATAAACCCGCGCAAAAATGGCAGGAGCAGCACTGAAGAGGCTCATGGCNCTGATAAGAGATTTAGAACTTCAGCCAGTCCAAGCATTAGAAAATGTTAGTCAAAGACTGACATAAAACACTATGAATCACCTCCATGTTTGCTTTATAGAGGCCCTGAAGGGACCCCATTTGAAGGGGGTGTATTCACAACAAGACTGGTGTTCCCTCCTGACTATCCTTTGAGTCCTCCAAAAATGAGGTTCGTTGGTGAAATGTTTCATCCTAATGGTAAGTTTTGTTGATCAGCTTGATTGAACCTTTTAAATAGTCAGTTTAATATTGACTAAAGGCTCCTTGACCTTTTCAGAACTTCAAGTTGCAGTCTTAAGTCCAAGGTTGACAATATAAAATATCAAGTTTAAATTAAAATGTTGAGTTTGATTGTATCACATTTATCATCATGAAACTTTTACAACAAAACTTAAAAAAATTGAAATTTCAATTTTAAATTCAGTCTGAATTTGTAACTTGAAAGTTCTCAAAATTCTAACTTAAAATTGAAACTCTGTACATGTAACTCTGTAGTTTAATATTATAATAAAATATTGCAAGCTTTACAAAAGCGCAGAAGAGAAAGAATTTCCTTCAAAGCTTCTTGTGTTACCATCCTGTGAAACATAACATCACGTTTGTCTCGATTACAATGTATTCTTACCCCCCTAGGCCTATAGCATGCCTTGANCAAGTTTAAATTAAAATGTTGAGTTTGATTGTATCACATTTATCATCATGAAACTTTTACAACAAAACTTTAAAAAATTGAAATTTCAATTTTAAATTCAGTCTGAACTTGTAACTTGAAAGTTCTCAAAATTCTAACTTAAAATTGAAACTCTGTACATGTAACTCTGTAGTGTAATATTATATTAAAATATTGCAAGCTTTACAAAAGCACAGAAGAGAAAGAATTTTCTTCAAAGCTTCTTGTGTTACCATCCTGTGAAACATAACATCACGTTTGTCTTGAGTACAATGTATTCTTACCCCCCTAGGCCTATAGCATGCCTTGAAACCCCCAAGGGAATCCCTAAGAAAATAACAGGGGTGATCATGGTACTTTTTCTCAGATAATACTCCTAGCTGGTTACAGCTTAGCATGCTACAGTGTACATGCAGTAAAATCTAAAATGACTGCCTTAACAGCACCTTTTAGGGTACTGACCTAAAAATTTGTCAGCGTGACATTACTTGTTAATTACATGTAAACATTATAGGATTTATATGGTACCTCTTAGGGGTGAAAATGAATAATTCGATGAGCCTTGCCCACAATCAAGAAGGGGCTCTTTTCAAAATTTCCTTTGAGTACCCCTCACCTGTCATTAGTATAGCAGAGTCTTCCTTCCCCCCTCCCCCCACTCTTCCTGGTCTTGGTACTTCACTCATGCATATAGCAATTAAAAACACTGTATAAAGCAGTTTTCATTTGAGTGTTGTAAAACTAACACCAAAGTGATCACTCTAGCCAGTCACAAAGCCTAAAGGGCATGTACAATCCATCACACCAGTCTTAACTCAAAGTTACACTGTAAGTCAAGCTGACACAAAGCACAGGAACAGGCTTTTAGCCAAATGGGTGTCTAGGTGTCCTGTGGACAGCCACTTATTAAGAAAAATTGTTTTAATCATTTTTCATATGTTGCCTTATAAATTGTCCAGCATTTGATTGAGCAGGCGCGGTAGCATATTTTGGATGCCCACTTTTCAAATCCTGACTAAAAGCCTGTGCACAGGAAAATGTATGCAAGCAAATCATGATTAGTTTTAGTTGTACTTCTGATTGGTTGAAAAAGTGGTGTGATTTTCTTAAACCAATTGTGTTGAGTAGCAGTTGCCAAAACCAATTTTTGACTCTCTAGTGAAAATCACTCTACTAGTGTAGTTACTAACATCATTGTTGTTCTTATTTGTGTTTGTCAGTTTATCCTGATGGTCGAGTGTGTATATCCATCCTGCATGCCCCTGGTGATGACCCCATGGGTTATGAGAGTAGTGCAGAAAGATGGAGTCCTGTCCAGTCTGTAGAAAAAATCCTTTTGTCTGTTGTTAGCATGCTTGCAGGTAACAGTTGTTTTTCTCATCTTATTCAAAGGTTGTCTAGTCAAGGAAAGCATTAGCCTGCAAARGCAGACGTATTTCCGGCTGTCGCTTGTCTCTGCCGAAAATAACGTCTGCYAACCCGAGCCAGGAAARGATTTCTGTGATGTAATGACTTTTGTTTCTCCTTGGCCAATCAGATTCCATGATAGAATGAAACTCGAGTGTTCGTCACAGCAAATACCTTGTGCAGTAGTTCTGGGGCTACTTGAGCTAAACTGTGATTGGCTTAAAATTCCTACATCACAGAAATCATTTCCTGGCTGAGGTTCACAGACATTATTTTTAGTGGAGACAAGCGACAGCCGGAAATAGGTCTGCATTCGCAGGCTAGGAAAGTATGTAAGGGAAGGGTTTTGCATGCTATGCCATTAGCAGAGAAAGACTGCTTGGTGTGAATCAGGCAGTTGCTTGAACTGGGCTTGAGTTTAGTGACCTTTGCTTCAAGCCCACATTCAACTTGACTAAATGTTTCAAATTGCTCTACTATACAATCATGTGCATTTGCATGTATTTGGATCACACTTCTCAGTAACCCCATTTTGAAAATGATGTTTTGCTTGCCCTATACGTAACTTTTGTCTCTGTTTTATGCAGAACCAAATGATGAAAGTGGTGCAAATGTAGATGCTTCAGTGAGTATTACATGAAAAGCTGTTCATTCACTAATCTCAGATTTCAATTATTTTTTAGAACAATATTTTGTTTGTTTGTTGCTGGTAATCAAACACTTTTTAATATGCCTCTGGAACTGATATGCCGTGCCGTCAGTCTATCATCTTTCCTACCGTTAAATTTGGTATATGTATATTGAACCCCACATGCCATACCCCACGGAAGTCACTGAGGGCCTAACCCATAACACATGTTGCGGGTGAACTTGCCTGTCATTAAGTCATTTCACTGGTTTAGAACCATTCAAGTTTGTTACATGATCTATGAAGATCAATGCAACAGGTGACTGAAAACTCACTTGGCAGCCCAGCTACCCTGCTGAATTTCTAACCCCTTCTGTCTGTTAACAGCATGTTTTTGTATGGGTATCTCAGATAGATCATGATTTTATATTATTTTTTTTATGGCTACCAGACCTTCCTCTAGTTACCTTTCATTCACATCACTGTTTTAACCAGA